CGTACTGCCGTATCCTCGGCTTGTGTTAACTACAGTGGCCAAACACTTGCCTGTTATTGCAGCCAAACGTAATGATGCTCTGTTGCACGTCATCAAGGTCAGTCAGCTGAGCCTAAAGACCATTTTCAAATTCGTACAAGAGATCTCTTTACCTTGGTCGTAATGTTTACCCAAACCACTTGTCATTTTCTTGAGAATAAGATTCTTTGTCTGAGTCGTATCAATTACTCATGTATCTTCTCATGTGCAACCAATAAACAAAGAATGATACTCTAGGGAATGACACGTGGTCTTGAGAATAAGATTCTTTGTCTGAGTCGTATCTATACCACTGTGGTCCTTGATTACGGAGTCGTTTTTTCAGGGTTATCCTCATCTCTTCGGTCTTTTTTGTTTTTGTTTTTTTTCCTTTCATATTTATACTTTTCATTTTGCATTAATTTACTTAACATTTCTTCTACTTATTAATTTACTCTTTTTCATCATTTTATTTTGTTTTATTTGTTTTAGTATTTCAAGTAGATTACGAAAGGTAGTGCGTTCAAATCCCATATAGAACTCAGATTTTTTCCCCATCTCTTGTCATTCACTCATTTTATTTCCTTTTTAGTTTCATCATCTTCCCTCCCATTCACTTTCCTTCCATTCATTCAACCATTCATCTTTCTTTCCCACAGCACGCCTCAAGGAAGCTAGACGCAACCCCTGCATCAGTAGAAGAGTTTGTCGACCATCTGATATTCTTGTCCCGTATGTCRTCTGAGATAGCATCGCTCGAGCGAGAATATGTTGTAGTTATTCGTTTGTACTCTATTGCGAAAAATTTTGACATACCTATTGAAGCTGAAGAAAATGCGCTTTACCAGACACTTATGCCTAGTTTCCATCACCTCAAGGTAAGATAGCCCTACTGGAAGGAGTCTAGTTTTTTTTTTTCTGCATCGGATGCAGGGAGAGGGCTAAAAAGATTTCATTTCTCGTTCACATGTTATGACGTGAAACAACGCCTCCATTTCTGCTTGACACAACGGCTAGACACAAGAGGATCAATCAATCAATCAATCAATCAATCAATCAATAATCTATTTAAACACGTATCGTCCAAGAGCTTATAAAGCTCGTTCAAAATACGAACGTGTAGGATCACGTGGTCTGTTAATGCAAATTGGGGCCTAATGCTAGATAATGTTAGATATGTCTACTTCACAGTCCCCACCCCTCCCCTCTTAATTAATTAATTGTCCCATCTAATAGTTTATATAATAGTTGTGTTTGTTTTGCTGTAGTCTACCATCTTGTACTGCGTGGCCAAGAGAGACGAAAACATTCAGTTTTACAACCGAGCACTAGAAGAACTAATCTCCCATGTTCGTCACGACTTGAGGACCACAGCAAACAAAGTGCGTTCCCCAGCTCTTCTAGACTCAGAAAACATTCCGCAGGTTACCATAGAGAAGCTGAAATACTTGGCAGAAGAACTTGAAATCATCGCTACCGAAGCACGCAGCTACGCCACGTATCAAGAGAGATTTAATAGCTCCATGTCTTCGACTTTCCACAAGAAGGCACTAGTCGAGTGAGTATCGTTTTACTTCTCGCTTAACGTTATTTGTATAAAAATGACCTCTAAGTGAAAAGCAAATATTCTTGTAACTGTCTTCAGTGGTCGTTAAGGCGAAACTCTTAGAAAAAAGGGTCTAAGAGTTCAATTTTTTGCTCAGTTTTAGCGGGTAAAATGATCAATAGACCTCTTTACTTTGGGTGGAATGTTTTCCCATTTCSGACCACGTGTCATTCTCTTGAAATKTTTTTTGAGTTACATGTATATTTATTTGTCTGAATGACACGTGGTCTGAAGTGGGAAAACATTACACCCAAAGTAAAGAGATGTCTATTGATCATTTTACCCGCTAAAACTGAGCAAAAAATTGAAAACTTAAAAGACCTATATGTTTGTTTGTAGAGGAACGATCCCTGGTGTATCAACSGCTGGTAGCGCCGCATCGTTGTCCTTACAGACAGAAGTCAGTGAGGTGGAAAAGGATTTGTCCTTGAGGAAGCTACTATGGGAAGCAACGCAGGAATGGGAGGTGTTGGTTGACCGATGGGAACAGACAGCTTTCGAGTCTTTGTCTATAAGCTCCGTGCAGAAGGATGTTTTGAGGTTTATTGAGACGATTTTTATGTTGGAAAAAGGTAGGATGCACAGCTGTTTCAGTTGTTTAGGGGATTGTAMGATGATTGGAAAATGGATCTAGATTGGAAAATGACAATCCCAGTAACTACTGGGTTACAACATCAAAGGTTTTACAACTCCAGTTGTAGTTACTGGCTTACAAAAATTCATTTACAATCACAGTAACTACTGGGTTACAGCATCAAAGGTTTTACAACTCCAGTAGTTACTGGCTTACAAAAATACATTTAGAATTACAGTAACTACTGGGTTACAACATCAAAGCTCTTACAACTCCAGTAGTTACTGGCTTACAAAAAATCGTGATCTGTGATCAAGGAACACAGCGGTATTTGACTAAAACAGCCTATTTGTGCTATGACAGGTGTGCCCCACAACAAAGTAGTCCCTCGCCTGAAGCAAAAGGTTACCACCTTCAAGCTTGGTTTGCCCGTCATAACTAGCTTACGTAACCCTGCTTTAAGGACGCGTCACTGGGAAGCTATTCAAGAAGCGATAGGGAAAAGATTGGTCAGGGATAGAACCTTTACTTTAGGGAATCTGTTACGTTTGAAGGTAATGATACAGTACCTAATTTTCTTGTCATTGTCAGACAGGTTGTACTCTATATCCTCGCTTTTKAAACTTGTTATGCAACCGCCTGATATAATACTTTCAGTATTGATTCTACATGAAGTAACTTAAAGACGCAACATTTAAATGAAGAAATATTTCACCMTTCAACTATTCAATACTGAAAGTATTATATCAGGGGTTAGGTGCACTTTAAGTTTAGAGTCGCAAGACCGAATAGCGATTAAGATGCAAATGAAATTGTCTGTACCTTACTGCCACAAGTCCAGTTTTTGTTACCATAATCGTTACATTGCGTAGCAGGGTTTTATATTCAACAACCAAGCTGTAAAAAAGAGAAAATTGTGTGCGTCCGTCTACACTTTGCACCAATGAGGCGTCCTTCTTTGCATTGCTTCACGAACTTTTCGAAAATGTGCTTTCATAATAAGCAGTGCAGTTGCAAAGAGGATTGCGCGCGTATCGCGCACTCCACAGTATCGATCSAGCAGTTTGCGCAATCCTCTGCACATTCAATGCTTAACCACCAAGTCGGACTTTAATGTCATATRATGTTGATTATATCAATGATATTGTCTCTATGCACAGGTTTTCCAGCACAAGGATAAGATCGCAGAAATCGCTACACAAGCCAGCAACGAGGCTACACTTGAGCACATGTTACAAAAGGTATTGCTAGTACCATYACAATTTAGGAACATTTGATACACAACGGCTTTGGAGGCTCTGATCTGAAGTAAATAGACAACTTTGTGTGCAAGATTGGCCATGTATCAGAGCTAGGAGAGTAGACGAAGTTTTGGGGTGAGATTTGGGACGGAGGAAATAAAAAGAGAATGAATGGGAGGAAGGGAAGAAAGAAGGAAGGGAGAGAGAAGATGCATCGGATTCGTTTCCTTGAAGGTGACTTCACTAAATCAACTTCACTAAGCTTGTACCTTGTATTTTTTTGTTAGATTATGGATTTCTGGAATCAAACGGACTTCACGCTGAGCGCGCACGCTACCCGTGATATCGCGATAATCACACGCGCTGATGATATGATTACATCATTGGAGGAAAGTCAGGTGACATTGGCCAATATCCGGGGTTCTAGATTTGTTTTTCCAATCAAGGTAMGCCTTTTGTCTAGTATACTGGTTTATCTTAATTGTCTTAATTGTCTTAATWGGCCTACTGACCGTCTTTTTGTCYATATGTCCGACTATCCGGAAAATATATAGAGTTTCGTGTATTTGTCTTTCTTTCATGGGTAAAGGTGATCGATGTGCCGTCTTAATCCATCTTTTGTTGTATTCTCTTGTGGTGAGCTGTTAATATCAATCGACGTCATTACTGCTACAAAGCATCATTGGCCCCCCTGAACGCCCCATGATTCCTTGCGATCCAAGGTGGCCGCCTTATCGTCGAAGTAGTCCATTAGAACAGAGGCTTGTTTCCTTGCAACACTGTCGCATCTAACTGAGATTACAAACCATTCCAATTTCTTATTATTGTGTAGCATTTAGTGGAGGAATGGGACAGAAAGTTGAGCCTGTTTTCTCGTACTCTGGACGAGTGGCTTACGTGTCAGCGCAACTGGCTTTACTTGGAGACCATTTTCTCTGCCGCAGATATTCAAAGGTTAGTGTCTATTTCTTTTATCGTTTTTGTTTTCTCAAAGATCTTCGGCGGTAAACTTCTTTCAAAAATAATCTTGGATAACAGGAAAATACAAAAAATGTCGCAATAGTCCCCTTCACAGTTCCCCGCGCCATCTTGAAAGGTAGCCGTGCCTTTGCATCGAAGCGAGAGGAACGGTGAGCTCGCAATGATAGAGACATGTGAATAATTGTCCAAGGTGTTAAAAAAAGTCTCTATCATTGCAAGCTCACCGTTCCTCTCGCTTCTATTAAAAGGCATGGCTACCTTTCAAGATGGCGCAGGGAACTGTGAAGGGAACTATTCCATCGACAAAAAAGAAGAAATGCTGTTGTATTTGTTAGTCACTACCTTAACATGCTTCAGCGGGACGTAAAAGAACTACTGGGGACGTAAAGAAACCCTGGCAGTGACCACCCTCAGTGTCTGACTAATAACTTTTTTKGGGTTGATTGCAGGATGGGAATTGGGTATTTAAGGGGTTGAAAATTGGTGAAGTGTATCTTCAAAACAAAAAACAAAAAACAAAAAAGCAAAAACAAAATAAAAACAAAAAACAAAACGAAACAAAAAACAAAACAAAACAAAACTCAAACTTTAAATGATATTCATTTTCAAGATGATGGGGTTTATATGGTGACTGCTCTCTGTCTACCAAATATTTTACATCGTGCAAAAAACTGATTKGTTGTTCATTCATGACTTATAATCTGTACTTGATGTTTTTCTCCAGACAATTACCAAACGAGGCTCGATTGTTCTCCCAAGTGGACAAGTCATGGCGAGATATCATGAGAAGRACCATCGATAAACCCAACGCACTCAAGGCTGCCACTGCGGCTGGTAAAGTAAACAATTCCTAGTTTTATAGTTGATGTTAAAATTGGAATTGGTTGCCGTTGAAAAGTAAAAGAATTCTAAACTTTTTAGTCATACGCCGCAGTTGCTGCTGTTGTTGCCATTGTTGTTGTCGCTGCTGATGTTGCTGCTCTCGTKCTCTCGTTGTTTTTGCTGTTGTTGCTATAGACCCCTTGCAGCACTTTGGAATGCAGCTCAATCTGGGGGAMAAAACAATAGGTTCCAATTTTCATGAGATTGGAATTCTTTTGTTTTGTCCCCCAGCTMGAGCTGCTTGACGTCACATGCAAGGGGTGTATTGCATTGCTGCCGGTGCATGTTGCTGTAGTAGTTTTTGTCCTAGTTGCTGTTGTAGTTGTTGCTGCTGT